AGCACAAGCTGAACGTACATGCCACTTTGCATCTTTGTAGATGCCTACCAGTACGTAGCTGATCTTATTCTAAACTGGTACTTCTCCAGTTCCACTGGAGAAATTCTCACTGATTATTTTGATCAGTAATACACTATTTTCTAATGCATTGTCATTTCCGTTAAGCTGATCTTGCTGTATTGCTGATTACATTTGATATATTGTATCAGACCATCCCTGGATCACTAACTGAAAAAGTATTGATAACTCAAGATTTGATGTTTGACTCAGTTTCAGTGGTGTCATATTCATAATGATATTGATCTTTACATCTAGTTTTTTTTTAATCTTGTGATTCTCGTGGCAATAACTGAGAAATGTCATCTGATAGTACAATTGTTCTTCCTGGTATTTATTTCAGAGTGAAATTATAATTCTGAAACCTCATAAGAAAGTTAGAGTTGGAGTAGGCCATTCAAAGCTTTGAGCCTGCTCTACCATTCTGGATCACAGCTGATCACATCTCAATGTCATATTTCTGTGCTATCTCCATATGCCTGGATATTATTAGTAATGAGAAATTTCTCAATAGTTGTCTTGAATTTTCTTAATGAATGATCTTCCACTGTCCTCTGACATAGAAAATCCCATCAGACTCCGAGTGCAGAAGTTCCATTTTATCCAGTCCTAAATAGCTTGCTTTTTATTCTGAAACTGGGTCCCCTGGTTTTAAACCCCACAGCTAGGGGAAGCATTTATTCTGCATCTACTCCGTCTAGCCATTTAAGAATTTTATATGTTTCTGTAAGTTTGACTCTCATTCTTCTAACTTTCAGAGAATTCCGGGTCAGTTTCTTCAATCTCTCCTCACAGGACAGTCCCACTGTTCTAAGAACCAAATTGGTGAACCTCTGCCATCCTTCTTCATTGGCAAGTATATCTTGCCTTAGGTAAGGGGACCAGAACAGCGCATGATAATTGAGATGGGATCTTACTAGTGTTTGATACAATAGAAGTAAAACTGGACCTAAATGGGGTGGCGCGATGGCTCAGTGGTTAGCATTGTTGCCTCACAGTGCGAGGGACCCAGGTTTGGCTCCATGATGAAGCGACAGTCTGTGTGGAGTTTGCACATTCTCCCTGTATCTGCACGGGTTTCCTCCCACAGTCCAAAGATGTGCAGATTAGATGGATTGGCAATGCTAAATTTCCCACAGTATCCAGGGATGTGCAAGCTAGGTTGGTTGGCCATGTGAAATGCAGGGGTAGGGTAGGGGGTTTTGTCTGGGTGGGATGCTCTTCAGAAGGTTGGTGTTGACTCAACGGGCCAAATGGCCTGCTTCCACACTGCAGGGATTCTATGTTTCTAAAGCCCCTTGCAATAAGGGCTAACCTACCATTCACCTTCTGAATTACTTGCTGGGCCTGCATGAAAACTTCCAGTAATTTATGAACAAGGACAATTGGACATCAACACTTTCCAATCTGTCACCATTTCTGTTGCTCCTACTGAAGTGGATAACCTCACCCTTATCCATATTATATTCCGTCTGCCATGTTCTTGCTTGTCCAATCTTTAAGGCCACTTGAAGTCTTTTGGCATCCTCCTCACAATGTATCTTCCCACTAAGTTTTATATTATCTGCAAACTTGGGAAATATTTTGATTGCAACCCTCTCCCCTCACCCCATCCAAATCCTTGATAATGATTTTGAACAGCTAGGATCCAAGAACTAACTGTTTGCAGTATCCCATAACTCACAGCCTGCCAACCTAAGAATGACCCATTTATTTCTACTCTCTTTTTATCTGCCTGTTAATCAATCCTCAATCCATGCTAGTATGATACCACCCAACCAATGTGTGTGTGTGTGTGTTTTTAAAATCACCTCCTTTGTTGGACCTTTTCAGAATTCAAATACATCACATCCACTGATTCAATATTGTTGACACTGCGAGCAACATTCTCAAAACGCTCTCAGGTTTGTCAAACATGATTACTCCTTTATAAAGTCATGTTGACTGTCCAATTGGACAATTATTTTCTAAATATCCAGTAATCATATCCTTAATAATTTGATTTTAGTAATTTCTCCACTGCTGACATCAGGCTAACAGTATCCTGTTTTCTCTCTGTTACCTTTCTTAAAGAGAGGGTTTGACATTTGCAATCCACAAATTGACAAGCTCCACTGCAGAAGTTTAATATCAAATGTTATTACATCTCTCTGAAGTAGGGAAGACTCGAATGCAGGCCACCTGGCTCAGAGCTGTGAAAATTAAAGCTGAGAACGTCTACTAGACATCTCTGTCTTGCACTTAAAGAGGAAAAGAACAGAAAATCTCTCTGACTCATTTCCAGCAATCAAAAGCCAAGTTAAACTGGACACCAAAAAACTGCTAAACAAAAATCAAAGAACTGCGAGTGCTGAAGGAGGGACACAGGATTCAAAACATCAGCTCTGCTTTCTCTCCGGATAATGCCAGACCTGCTGAGTTTCTCCAGCAATTTGTTTTTCTTACCAAATATCTCCTTTCTATAGCGCTGAGATCACCAAATCATGTATCAGTCAATGCTACAGGAATCATCAAATTTAATTGACACAAGTTTCAACCATCTGCTCTGTGCAGTCAAGCCAAACACTGATTTGTATATCTTTTCTAATTATTGCCTTTTTTACTTAATCTTCTTTCTAATCTGTGTTTATTCTTCTATTTTAGTAACAAACTTATTCTTTAACTCAGAAAAGCCTTATTAAATTGGCTCCTTGTAAACATTAAATGCACTGGAATTGGGAAAGGTATTCATGAAGGATTCCTTTGGTTTAGATTTGATTTGTTGAGACAGGGAGGGGATTGCATAAAGGGTGTCAATTTCCTCCCCCCTCACCTGGGATCACAACAAATCAAAGATCCATCATTGACTTAATCAACACTTTCCAATCTGTCACCAATTCTGTTCCTCCTACTCAGGTGGATAACTTCACCCTTATCCACATTTTATTCCGTCTGCCATGTTCTTGCTTGGTGGAGGCAGAAGGTGGTATGGAAGTGTTTCACTTGATAAAATGCCCTTCCTGCCATGAAATCTACCTTTGGGAGGGCTATCAAATGTAGTCCTTCATGATCCATTAATGGGTGACACTTGAAGTTACAATGTTGTGACTCCAAAGAGAGTGAATCACCACGAGCAATAGATAACATTTAACAAAAGATTTCAGCCTGATCTGCTGGCATTCTCTGTTTATACTTCTGAATTCTGACATGTTTCCTTGATACTTGCATTTCTGCCAAAGCTGAGCAAATCCATTTTGCAATGGTATTAAGTGAGTAATTGGTAAATCCCAATACATCCAACAAAAGTTTTGTGGAATATATCACTCACATTTTTGTTGCTGTTCTGTTAAATTTGGGATTATATCATAACATTCAGGGTGACTATTTTGAAACTGGCTACAAAAAAGAAGAGAAGCACAGCATATCATAAAAAGGAATTCGATTAGAAAATAATGTGCATGACAAATACAAACCACAATTTTGAGGTTGTGGACAAGCTCATTGACCCTCAGAGAATCCCTATAGTGTGGAAACAGGCCCTTCGGCCCAACAAGTCCACACTGACTCTCAGAGAATCCCACCCGGACCCATCCCCCTATAACCCACCTAATCTACACATCCCTGAACACTACGAGGAAATCCACGCAGACACGGGGAGAATGAGAATGTGCAAACTCCACACAGTCGCCCATGGGTGATATTGAACCTGGGTCCCTGGTGCTGTGAGGCAGCAGCGCTAACCACTGAGCCACTGTGCCGTCCCTCCCGCTTGCTATTTATATGCCTCGGTTTGCTGGGGTGGTTGATATTCCTTGCAGTTCTGTTTCTCAGTGGTTTGTACACAGGCTCTAATTCAATGTGTGGAGCTGGAGGAACACGGAGGCCATATCACCTCAACATGGTGAGACCGAGCGGAGGCTCAGAGACTGTTTTGTAGAGCATCTACACTCCGTGACAAACGACAACACCTTCCAGTCGCGAACCATTTTAACTCCCCCTCCCACTCCCTGGGTGACATGTCCATCCTGGGCCTCCTCCAGTGTCACAATGATGCCACCTGCAAACTGGAAGAGCAGCACCTAATATTCCGCCTCAGGAGCCTACAGCCCAATGGCCTAAACGTGTTTCAAAATCTCCCCACCCTCGCCCCCGGCCTCATCCCGTGATCAACCCTCCCACTCAACCCCGCCTCCTTGACCTGACACAACCTGTCCATCATCTCTCCCTCCTGTCCGCCCCTCCCACCTCACTGACTAATCCCCACCACTCCCTACGTGCACTCACCTACCACCATCCCCAAACTTTCTGAGCTCCCTTTCCCTTCCCCATTTCTGAAGAAGGGTCCGGACCCGAAACATCAACTTTCCTGCTCCTCTGATGCTGCCTGGCCTGCCGTGTTCCTCCAGCTCCACACTGTGTTATCTCTGACTCCATCATTTTCAGTTCTTGCTATTTCTAATTCAATGTGTTTGTTGATGGAGTTCTGGTTGGAATACCAGACCTCCAGGAATTCCCTGGCAATACGGATACACAAATTCCCTGACAATACAGACATACAAAAACCAACTAGCCACCAAGAGATATGACCAATTGTCACTTGTCTCACTACACACGGACAATGAGGGACACTAATTGAGCTGGGACAACAGATCCATAATCACACAAGCCAAACAGAGACATGCCAGGGAATTCCTGGAGGCCTGGTATTCCAACTGGAACTCCATCAACAAACACATTGAATTAGACCCTGTGTACAAACCACTGAGAAACAGAACTAGAAGTAATACCAAACATCCCAGCAAACGGAGGCATATAAATAACAAGTGGGACAGGACACCGACGCTTCACCGGAGGCGCACTGATGATGTTACCTAGCAGGGTGACAAAACATTTGCAACCAAACCCACTGGCTTGGCGAGCATGTCTACAACCTCATCCACAACCCGAGCTCCAAATCTTCTTGAAAACTTTAAACCACAGTTTTATTTACAGAATTTTGTGCTTTTACTTACAAATTAAATTGTGCAGTAAAATAGAAAATAAAACACAATAATATCAAAGCATCAATTACAGGATAAAAATTACAATTTTTAACATTGCATGTTTCCTTATTTGATATTTACACCTTTCATGTGAATGAAATTTTTATGTGGAATCGATATAAAAATAAACTGTTGCTTTTATATACAGGATGCATAAATTGATTTATTACAGCACTGTAAAGATGGTAAACCTACTGTGGTATCTGCTTAGATCTGAGAATGCATGCTAGATACATTGATCAATGAGATATTACTTGGTGGAATGTGACTTTTTGATCCCACGGAATGATACATTGGTACAATAACAGAGTTTATAGTTTCAGATTCATTACAAGAGATCCTCTGATATACACTTTGTAGGCCTGCTGTTTTTGGCAAAAGTGCTTGATAGTATGTATCTTTACGGAGTAGATCTCGAGGGAATGACGTGTTTTTCCCCAAAGGGGTAAGGTGCTGAGTAGTGGTTGTGGAATGGTAAGTATTTGGCCCTTGAGAAGATGGACTCCAGCAGCGATCTGAATGGCCAAGTATCTTGCACTCATTGGTGCAGGACCATAAACCTGTCCAAGAAAGGTAATCAATACTTTTCATTATTCTTTTAATTGCAATATTAATTATTCAATGCAGTTTACTGAAACTCTCAATAATTACAATGTTAATTGCCTCAGGCCTAGACACTTGTAATTAAAACTCCATTGTTTGAAAATAAACATGTTATTATAATTATCTTGGAGTAATGAGGTGGTATGATATGTACCATCTGTTTTCTGTATTATTACCTAAAGGAAGAGAAGAATAAAGGCTAACCTTATATTTGTTCACCAAATAGGATAATTCTGGATAAATCAGCCTGCATTAAAATTCATCAACAAATATGCATAGGATTTGCAGGTATTCTCTGTCTCCAACAGGAAACTCACAGATATTTATTCCTTCTTTCTTAACCGAAAATCTGTGCCCTAACCCTAAAACTGCAGTTGCACTGTACTTTCAAATGCTTTCAGATTCAGATTGATACAAAACTCGCAGATCGCCAATCTGATTTCTGTCTTCACTAAAATTAAGCTATGGCAAAGCTATTTCACATCAGATTGCAGTTGGTAAACTATCTATTCAGACTGAGTGTGAAACAGAATAACAAAAAAAAAGTGTGCGTGGACTCTCCAAGAGCTTTTCAAAATTTTATGCAGTGATTTTCATGAAAGAAGAATTTAATGCATACTACTCTTTAAAAATAGATAACCAGGGAGCAGAGGACTGTATAAACAAGAGTTAGGCATGATAGGCAAGTTCAAATGTGAGGGCAATGTAGTATAATGAGAAAAACGTGTAATTGATTAAAGCAAGTTGATAACCATCTGATATCGATTTTATTTTTTAAGTTGGTAAAAAAACTGGGGGAAAGCATTTGCAGGGTTATGTATAAAGAGTAGGGGAATGGACTAATTGCACAGTGCTAAAAACTGACATATAATTTGGCAAATGACTTTCTTCTATGCTACACGTTAATTAGAATTCTGCTCTGATGGATCCAAATGCAAATGCTATTTTAAATAATATCAAAAATCTGCTAATGAAATGGTGTTAAGAATAAAGTTTTAAGAATACAATGTTTATAATGACAAAGTCTATGTAAACTGTAAGCAGTGTGAAATTATTTTTACAAGGTGGGCTGAATAGTTTTCCATAGTACGAAATAACATCAATGAATTTATTTGTTAATTAAATGAAAAAGGCACAATGACTGGACATTACTTTTTTGTTTGAAGTAGGTAGGGCAATGCATATGAATGCATGAACCTTCTAGCAAGCATAAATGAGCCAAATTATGTTATGCATTCCCCATGGTGACACCATGACAAGAACTCGCTCTTCTGAATTTTAGCAAAAGCTTGGGAAATAACTCTTCCTTGCTGAATTCTCCATGGCCTCAACCAGTTGGAACCAAGTTATCATCAGTTTCCTTTTTCTTATGCAGTATATATCATTGTTCCCTTTGAAATTTGGCATCTTTGCATCTCTCCTGATGAATGCAAGACAAAATGCTTTGATAGCTTGTCTCTTTTCTCCTCGATATTCAAGTTCTGTGTTACCAACTAGAGAAATGCTAGAAATTGAGGCTCACCATTGTGCTTCTGACTGAGAGTACTCCTTTTATTCAGACCAATACCACTGATATCAGAGTCACTGTCATTAAAGTCACTGTCTCCTTTTCCACTGTCCTTCCCACTGAACCTGTCCTGGGTTTGATGTGCAAGTTCGCTGAAAGGAAATAACAAAGGTTTTCGTAATTATTTCCTACTGTTCAAAAGGATATGCTACTAAATGTTTTCAATAATAACTTGTACCATTGCACGGTATCATAAAAAATAGGAACAAGAGAAAACCATTCTGCCCCATGAGCCTGCTCCACCATTCAATAAAAACATGAATGATCTGACTGTGGCATTAACCCCCATCTTTCCTGTTGAGTGTCATAAAAATGCATTTATTATCTTTTTTATCAAACATCTAACTCAGCCTTGAATATATTCAATGACCTAGCCTCTGCAGCTCTCCAGAGTAGAGAATTTCAAAGATTACCAACAGTCTGGAACAAGAAATGTCTCCTCACCTCTGCCTTAAATTAGAGACACCTCATTTTGGAACTGTGCAGCCTAGTTATGGATCCCGCACAAAACAGAAAACATTGACCCAGGTCTTCCAATCAACTACAATGTCTGAGAATTGAAGCTGGTTGTAACTGAAGATGCACCCTCACCTATTTTCATCATTTCAGCAGGATTTACTGTCTCAGAGTGAGGGTCAAGGTAATGTTGCAGGTATCCATAGAGAGAATTGGCCAGGAGAAAATGTGGCATCCCCTCTGAAGAGTTATATTGGACTCAAAATGTTAACTCTGTTTCTTTCTTTACAGATGCTGAGTTTCTCCAGCACTTATTTTTTTATTTTTGATTTCCAGCATCTGCAGTGTTTTGATTTTACTCTATTCCCTCTTGATGTTATCAGCTCAGGTAACTCCCCTTGAAGTCATTATGAGGTTTTTAATGTTCTTAAGGATTTTATTTTAAATGTATCTAATATTTTAAAGACTTTCTGGGGAGCTGGGTTTTAATTGTTCATATGTTAGGTGTAAGTAAATTTTTCGGCTTTCCAATACAACTCCTGTCGTCAGTTTGCTGTTAACCCAGGTCCTATGCTTGGGATTAACAGCAGGAGTAGTTTGGAGTACATTTCTGTGTAACAACTTAGTATTGGGCCAAGTCTTTCATGACATGGTCAGTGTCAAAAACACTCTGTACTTTTTTTTTGTTAGGGGGTGAAGAAGAGAGAGAGACATATCAGGAGTAGCATTGTACTATCCATCCAAAGTTTGAAGTTCCCGCATGTATGCTAGTTAGGGTGTCCTCACCATCTTGACTTGCAATACTGGCAAATATTTCAACATTTTCCACTGTTACCATGTCAAAAGACCATTCTCCTAGTATTTACTCTGCTAAACCTCCTCAGAACATTATATGGTCACTTCTTAGTCTTCTAAAGAACTATGAGTATAAGTTCAACATTTCCACATGAGACAACCTCTTCATCCTAGCAACAAAGCTAGTGAACCTTCTCTGAACTTAAGTACTGACCTTTTATTCAAAGCAAAGTGTTTGCCTTGCCAGATTGCAATTGGGTGAAGAGCTTGGTGACCAAAAGCAGAGGCAGTGGGGAAACGCTGGAGAAACAGAAACGAGAAGTGTTAGCTAGGGTAATTATGAGCACAGCTACCATGGCAAGCACTTAATGACCAAACCAGAGATAGAGGGGACACACCAGAGAAAAAGAAACAGAAAGTGTTAGTTGGGGAGTGATGAACACAAGTACTATGGCCTGCGCTTGACGATCAAAACTAGAGATAGAGTGGAAACACTAGAGAAACAGAAAGCGTTATTTAGCTGGGGGAATGATGAGGACAGGTGCCATGGCTAGTGCTTGATAACCAAAATCAGAGATAGAGAGAACACATGAGAGAAATAGAAAGTGTTTGCTGGAGAAATGATGAGCAGAGCTACCATGGCCAGCACTTGATGATGAAAACCAGATATAGAGGAGACACACTAGAGAAGCACAAAGTGTTAGTTGAGGAATGATGAGCACAAGTACTATGGCCAATGCTTGAAGACCAAAATCAGAATTAGAGGGAAAATGCTAGAGAAATAAGTGTCATTTAGCTGGGGAAATGATGACGACAGTTCCCATGGCCAGCACTTGATGAATTAAACCAGGGACAGAGGAGACACACGACAGAAATAGAAAGTGTTAGTTGTGGAAATGATGAGCAGAGATACCAGAGATAAAGGAACACACTAGAGAAACAGAAACAAAAACAAAGCTGCTGGAAAAGCTCAGCAGGTCTGGCAGTAGAAAAAAATCAGAGTTAACAGATTGCAACTGGGTGAAGAGCTTGATGACCTAAAGCAGAGACAGTGGGGAAATGCTGGAGAAACAGAAACGATAAGTGTTAGCTAGGGAAATCAGTTAATTCTGATTTTTTCTTCACAGATGCTGCCTGACCTGCTGGGCTTTCCCAGCAACTTTGTTTTTGTTCCTGATTTACAGCATCTGCAGTTCTTTAGGTTTTTAATTAGAGAAACAGAAACATGAATAGATATTTAGCTGGGGAAATGATCAGCAGAGGTACCATGGACAGCACTTGATGACTAAAACCAGAGATAGAGTGACACACGAGAGAAGCAGAAACACAGAGAGATATTTAGCTGGGGAAATTATGATGACAGGTA